CTGGTTATTACCTTTCTTTTTTTTTTCTATTCTTCCTATAATATCATTATCTCCACTTTACGGATGAGGAGATTCATGGAGGTTGAGTAATTTCTCTGGAGTTGGGCAGGACACTTTCAATGGTCACCAGTGCGCATGCTGCCCAAGTAAGCACCTCACCTTCCTCCATTCACCTAGGTGTCCACGTCCCCGCCAGGGTCCACTATCTCCATGGGTGGGAGAAACGGCAAGAGCAGACATTCAGGGAATAGGTGCTTTATTGAAAAGCAAGCATTCCAGCCCCGGAACCAGCTATGACATTAACTCTTTCTGGGGGGGCTCTGGAAGCGCCACTGTGTAGGGCAGACAGCACAGCGTGGCATCTGGGCACAGCTGCATGTAAACTTCTTGCCGGGTACAGTAATTTCGGCAGGCCCCGTGGCCCTTCCAGCACCGTTTGAATTCACCTCTCCCTAGGCAAAGGAAGACCACAGGTTAGCCTCCTGCTCACAGGTTTGACTACAGGTCAAGGGTTAGAGGTCACTGGTCACAAGATTCGTGATCACTGATCACAAATGAGGCCATAAGTCTCCAGTTCAATCTCTGGTTGTTTACTAGCCCACAGGTCACAGAGCAGCCGTATTGTAAACTAGGCCATAGGACATCAAAAGGACCACAAGTTGAAGAAGGTCAGATCAAACAGGTCAAGAGTTAGACCCTTGGTTACAAATGAGACTCTCACCACAGATCTCAGTCCAGTTTAGCCTACAGAACACAGGTTAGACCAGTGGTTATAAATTAGAGAAAAATTTCTTGTCGAGCTTAACCTACATACCAAGTGCATTCCAAAGGTTTTCCACAACACTTTCTGATTCTAGTTAGTTTTATTGTATTCTTGGCTTTACAGGTAAGAAAGCTGGACCTCAGAGGCTATGCCTCACTTCTACACACACACACGCACGTAGGTGATGTTACCTGGCGGCACATGACCCAGCACCAGGAGCGCCATCATGACCAGAAGCAGCTGGGTCATAACCACAGGGCTCCGGGAAAGGTCACTGGGAAGAATACAGGAGAGCAGCTGAATGTGTTGAGCCTGGCTGCCAGCCTGCCAGCCTTTATTGGCCTGCAGATCAAGGGAAGGCCGTGGGCAGCACACCTGAGACCACGTGGTCCCGAGGCAGTAGCTGGACCCCAGCCAGCATGAGAGGAACTCAGCAGCCATACCCTTGGGAGGCTTGAATGCAGCAGCTGGAGACCAAGTCTCCTGAGGCAGTGCTTGCGACCAGCAACTGGATATCTTCTCTGCCTGGGAGTGCGGGGACAGCTTTGAGCACGTCCCCCTCATCACTGTGAGACCCTGGACAGGCTGCTTAGTCTCTCTGAACTCCAGGCCATCACCTAGGAAATGAAGGCCACGATTCCTCCTTTGCAAAGCTCAATACATGAGGCTGGGCTGTCCTTCCTTATGTCAAGGAGCCAAGATCAGACACAGTAACTTGAGTACAAACCAACAAAACAAGCATGGATTTAGGTCGACTCCAACAGGGAGATAGTTATGGCACTCATAGGGCTGCTCAGGGATTTAAATGAAACATTTTTCTTTTCAAAGTGTGTCCCCAGATGAACAGTGTCAGCAAGGCCTGGAATTTTTAGAATTGCCCCTTTTCTTGCCCCATCTCAAACCTCCTGATTTGGAAGCTCTGAGCTTCCCAGCAAAGTGTATTTTAATAAGCAAACCACTCCCCAGCCCCCCAGAAGTTCTAATGCTTTGCTAACGTCTGAGGACCACTGATCTCATATCTGCACAGAGTTTAAATCAGCACCTGCTACATAAGCATCAGAATTGCACTGAGTAAGAAGAATAGAGGAAGGGGAAGGAGGCATGGCCAAATCAAGGGGTCTGTCAGGAAGAAAGGCTAAAATGACCCTGCAGAGGACAGAAGGAGCAAGAGACAGCATCAGTGCCAAATTGTAACCTATTTAGACTTGGGTTTTAAATAAAGAAACTTAAATGCAAAGGTGATGGGCCCAAAGCCAGTCAGCAGCTAAGTCGCAGAGTTGGGACTCAAAGTCAAGTCATCTTGCTGGACAATGAACAATGCAGCCCCACTCATAGCCCATCTTGCAGGTGAGAGAAGGAAGATTAGCGGGCTGGGTAGAGTGGAAGCCACAGGTGATGAGGTTAGCTGCTTGCTCTGGGCCCTGGGGACCTGAGCCAGTCTGCCAGGCTGCTGCTGGAGTTGTTTCCAGCTAAACCCCTCAGACATGACAGTGAGTCTTGCCCACAGGTACAACCTGGTCTTCTGGTCTCCCACGCATGTGCATCGCAATGCCTCAAAGGGTACCCTCACCCACACACTCAAAGAGCCCGGATCCTGGCCCTCTAGATGACCACATCCCCAGGTTCCCACAACCCACTTTTTCCACTATACAAGATCACAGTGTCTCTTTTTTCTACCACGGATGTGGTAAGAAACTGTGAGCCAGGATGGGAAGGAAGAGCTTAACTGGGGGGCAAAGACGTGCATCCTAGGCCCCATTAAACAAGCCAGAGTGCTCATAATCATGGCAATGGGTAAGTTACATCGTTAGGCTCCATCAAGTCGAGTACAACTCATAGTGACATTATGAACAATAGATCTGAACCTGTCCTATCCTGTGCCATTCTCATCATCTCTGACACACTAGAGCCCATTGCTGCAGTCATTGTGACAGTCCACCAAGTTGAGGGTCTTCCTCTCTTCCGATGACCCTCAACCTTCCCAAGCATGATGTCTCTCCAAGGAATAGTCTTTCCTAGCAACAAGCCCAAAGTATGTGAGACGATGCTTCATCATCTTTGCCTCCAAGGAGCACTCTGGCTGCACTTTCTCTAAGATATTTCTGGGGTTTTTTTTCTTTTGGCAGTCCATGGCATGTTCAAGTATTCTTCTCTAACACTAAAGTTCAAAGGCATCAATTCTCCATCCATTATCCTTATTCATTATCCAGTTTCAGATGCACAGCAAGTGATTGAAGAGACCATGGCCTCAATCAGGCGCACCTTAGTCTTCAAACTGACAACATTGCTGCTCAATAATTTGGAGAGATCGAAACTTCAGACTTTCCCAGAATTACATCTCCTAAATCTCCTAACTGCTGGCCCCAAGGGTTGATTGTGGATCCAAGTAAGATAAAGTCACGGACCGTTTCAATCTTTTCTCCATCATCAGAGAGGAGACAGCTTGTCTTCTGGGTCCCAGGAAAGCTCTCCAACCTGGTGATTACCCCTACGAGGGTATTTGATGAATGAAAGGATGAGTGGCACCAAAATACTATATTCAAGTCTCTTTCATGTAAACTTGTGGGGTTTTCCTCCTCCGCACGCCACTTCGCAAATTCTGGAGCAGAATTTCTCAAAGTAGCTTCACAAACCACATGCATACGAATCCCTTAGGGCACCAGTTTAAGACCCAGGTTCCTGCACTTTGGCTGCTGGTCTGTGAGCTGCCTCTGGAGGGCGAGATTTGAGAATCTGAATACTTAACAAGCTCCCCTGGTGGGTGCTGCGAGGATTAAGGGTGTGGGGACCCGCCCCCGCCCCATGGGTGAATAGGTGTGAGATAGATGTACAACTGGGCACAGACCCAGGACTCCAGAACATCATCCTTCCAGTCTCGCGCCCCGAGCCCTGGCCTGCACTTGAGGCTGGTCCCCCGGACAGGGTTTTCTGAGGAGTCCAGGAGCAACCAGGCCTTGGGGCGGGGACCTCGGGGCTGTCCTAACGCGGCAGGGTTGGCCCGGCCGGGCTAGTGACTCCTCCCCCGGCCGGAGCGCAGGGCGGGACAGGCCGGAGTGGCCGTGCGCCGAGCTGGGTGGTACAGCCTGGAGCAACCCGCCGCGGAGGCGGCCGAGACCCCGGAGACCCCGGACCCCTTTCCAAGCCCAGGTAAAGGCCCGCGCCGCGCTCAGAAGAGCGCCGAGGTGGTGGAGCTGAGCGGAGTTTCCTCCAGGCGCCTCCATGGGAGGGCGCATCCATGCAGTCAGGACCAGGGGGGTTTCGAACTCACGCCCTGATATCGAAGATCCTCCAACCCGGAGCCCGCTCAGATAAGGAACTCTTGGGATTCATACCCAGGACCTTCGGGCTGGAAAGAGCCAGACTCCCAGGAATGACACATTTGCTCCAGGGCCCTCTGGTCTCCCCTCCTCCTGCCTGGGCTCTGTCCTGTCACCAAACTTGGGACCTTGCTCGCTTACAACCCCAGTCTCAGGCAGCAGCTGGAGGCCACCGAGCATGAGCACGGCTCCTGAATTTTTCACGCAGGGGGCGGGCCGGGCACGCGTTCCCATGGAACCCCAGCACTCAGGTTACAGGCAGAAGGAACCCCCAGGCCCCTCTCCTAGGGGCCATCATCCCAGCAGCCCTGCCTTAGCCCTCTGGGATGGGACAGCAGACAGGAACCACCACCTCTCCCAAATAATGCAGACGAGATCTCTGGAAAAGGTGATCTAGCCCATCTTGGGGGTTCCTACTTATAGATTCCAAGCTATGGCGACCTTTCATGGGGTTTCCAAGACTGTAATATTTAAATAGGGGCGAGTCAGGGCACTGGGGCCTTTGAGCAGGAGTGGGTCCCATAAATGGAAGAGGTCTGTGTATACCGTGTGTGTGTGTGTGTGTGTGTGTGTGTGTGTGTGTGTGTGTGTGTGTCCTGCGTGTGTCACCTAGGGCTGGGGCATTCCCCAGATCACCGGAAGTGGCTTCTGAGTGAGTGTGCACACAAGCATGTCTTCACAACCTGCGTGCTCACCCATCCAGGCCTGTGCTAGGGTCTCCCTAGCTCTGAAGCCAGAAACCCCTACTTTCTTCCACTGAAACACTACAGGACCTCTGCACGAAGGTGTCCCAGAAGCTCACAGGACCCCACCGGAGAAGCAGCTCCAGCGGCTGACTCCTCTGTGATTATTCTCCCGCTCCCAGAGCAAAGAGAAGGCTGAAAAGGAAAGAGGGAAAGAGTCCAGCAGCTGCCCACCAGGATGACATTAAACACCCAGCAGGAAGCGAAGACCCCCCTGCGCCGTCGAGCCAGCACTCCGCTTCCCCTGGCCCGCAGGGCTCACCAGCCTAGTCTCCTGTGTGCAGAGCCCACCACTAAGCCTCAGCATCCCCGGCTGGGCCAGTCAGCCTCCCTCAACCCGCCCGCCCGGACCCGGTCACCTACCCCCAACGGCTGGTCCTCTGAATCCAGCGATTCTGAAGGCTCCTGGGAGGCCCTGTACCGCGTGGTGCTGCTTGGAGACCCTGGGGTAGGGAAGACCAGCCTGGCCAGCCTCTTTGCAGGAAAGCAAGAGCGGGACCCCAATGATCAACTGGGAGGTAGGAGCACTTGGAGCTAAGGTGAGGGGTGGCTAACAGAGGGAAAGTCTGTCACCAGGGTACCTGACTCTAAGGACAGTTGTGCGTGTAGTGCACTGCTCAACTCTAAAGCGCATTAGGTGATGAAGTGAGTAGTGGTTCCCAAGAGCTGCACAGGGCATAGCCACCTGCACCACGATCCAGTGATTAAAAGGAAAGTCCGGGAATAGTGAGGGAGGATGCTGTCCATTCCTCATGGGTTCAATGTATGTCACAGAGAAAGCAAAACTGTATTTCATGAGTCTCCTGAGGGCCAGAAGATCCCCAGCCCCATGGACCTCATCCATGGCCACCAGGGTCTGCAGTAAAACTAAGACCCTGCCCAGAGTGGCAGCTCCCAGACTCCAAGGGCTGGGCCCTGGGTTCCTTTACTCTGGACAAAGGCTGTGTGCTGAGAGGGGGAGAAGGTGCAGGGACTTGACTAAGGAAGATGGGCCCCTGGAGGGCTCACTGAGAGGACATCGTGGGAAGGGGAGCAGAGGCACTCCACCAGGCCTTTCCTCCAGGTTTGGCCCCCTTGAGAGTAAGAATGTGTGAGAAGTGTGCACAGGTACACCTTTATTTGTTAGAGACAGGGAGACTGAGGCCCAGAGTGGGAAACAAAATCTGCCAATTACACAGTCAGGGATAGAGCAGGACTGGAAAAAACTGCAGCCCACTTTGACCCCACCATCCCACACTTACATATCCAAGTTAAAAACAAACGAACAAAAACTGCTTTCTAAATACTTAGTGCGGAGAGTACTGTGCTAGGAGCTGGGGAGACATGGACTCAGATGGAGCTTCCTGTGAGGCCGATTAGCTTCCTCCCAGGCCTTCTCCCTGATATCTGGCTCTTCCCTCTCTTGCAGAAGATGTATATGAACGGACCCTCACAGTGGACGGGGAGGACACCACGCTGGTGGTCGTGGACACCTGGGAGGCAGAGAAACTGGTATGGCCAAGTATCTAACTTACTCCTTTCCAGGGATGCTACAGACAAGGGGTGGGGTGGGATTCATCCTCAGCAACCCCCCAAAACCGCACAGCTGATAAGCAGCTTTCCAGCCAAGGAGAGAAGAACCTCGGCTCCCTGTTCTGACTGTGCTGGTTCCCTCCCTGTAACCACACAGGATGTGTTCCTTCCTCTCTTTACTGCCCTCTCCTCCCACCTACACCCACCTTCATTCTACAGAGAAGGAAACATTGGATTTAGCACCCAAAGGCCTGAAGTTGAGCCCTTTTCTTTTTATCAGTTGCATGGGTTTGCTCAATTGACTTACTTACTCCTCCAGGCTTCAGTTAAATAAATAGGGGTGCTATTAACTGCCCTCATCAGGTCATTTTTTAACACAGTTCTCATGCAGTATCTTACAGTTTCACACAGCTGAGTGGTTTGTAGTATGAAAAATTGCCAGACAAAGAGAATTATAATAATAATAGTACTGGGAGTAGGTGTGTCAGAGACAATAAGGTTGGCACAGGATAGAGCAGAGTTCAGAGCTGTTATACGTAGGGTCGTTATGAGTCACAGGCAAAATGATGGCACATAACAAGAACAGTTCTTATAAACCATAAGACCAGGTCAGACTCAAAATTCATTGTTGTTGGATTGACACCAACATATAGCCTTCCCCCCATTGAGTTTCCAAGGCTATAAATCACACAGGAGGCAACTGCCCAGCTTCATCCCTGAGCCACTGGGTGATCTGAACTACTTGAAAGTCTCAAAGAACCACTTTGAGTCAGGAGTGCAGTTCCTTACAGACTACACCACCAAGGTTCCCTGCATAACAGGTAGCTGGTAAAGAACGAATCCAAAGGGTATCTTGTTCTTGCCTCATTGCTTCCAGAGCACGAAGACAGCAGCACCCAGAGACTCCCCTTACACTAGGCCTCCTTTCCTTTCCTTTCTTGGTTGGGTTTTCTTTGTCTTTAGGTTATACACACGATACATGTTCATTGTAGAATTGTAAGGAGATAACATCTAAGCAAAGTAGGTTATAAGAGTCAGCTGGGATCCCCTCTTCTGTGGGGGAAGCCCCTCTCCTAATACCCAGCGATGTCTGCACACAAGGTGGGACGTAGGAGGGAAGGGTCAGTGACTGGTATAACAGCTGACAGCTCCAGGGGCGACCACCCAGAGGGGTGCAGGCAGATTCCTTTTAAGGAGCGTGCAGCAGAACCCAGGTTCACATAAGCATCACGATGCTCCTTACAACAGCAGCTTAACTCTGGCGACGTCATCCACAAGGAGTTGCCCTGCGACCCCAAGGGCCACATCTCTCTGGCAGTTCAACTCCATCAGTGGCTCTGCAGGAGAAAGATGGGCAGTCCCCTTCCATGTGATTTACAGTCTCGAAAGCCCCATGGAAGGTTAGCTATGAGTCAGTTCAGAAAACGGTAGTGAGAGTTTTCCGAAGTGCCAATCCCTGTGCTAAGAACTGACACGTATGACAACACTCCGTCAAAACAGAGACAATACAGTGAGTGTTCTGATTTCTTTCTATGGACAAGGAGATTGCAGCACAAACCGAAAACTAAACCCATAGCCATTGATTCAGTTCTAACTCCTTGTGATTCCATGTATTAGAGAGCAGAGCTGAGCTCCATAGAGTTATCTTCGCTGTATTCTTTATAGAGGGAGCTCTGGTGGTCTAGTGGCAAGAAGCTGCACTGCAATCCCAAAGGCACACAGTTCAAGGCCACCAGCTACTCTGTCTGAGGAGGATGGGTAATCTCCTTTGCAATTAACTGCCTCTGAAAACCTGCTGGTGGGTCACTTATGGGTCAGTTCTGACTAGATGGTAAACAACAACAGCATTCTTTATGGACCAACAGACCACCAGGACTTTCTCCCTTGACCCCACTGGGCAGGTTCTAACTGCCAACCTCATGATTAGTCATTGTTGCTGTTATTGTTGTTAGAAGCCGTCGAGTAGGACTCATTGCAACCCTATGAACAACCAACCTGAACCCTGCCCTATCCTGTGCCATCCTCGTCACCTCTGACACACTAGAGCCTGTTGCTGAAGCCACCGTGTCAATCAGTCTCTTTGGGGGTCTTCTTCACTGACCATCTTTCCAGCCATGATGTCTCTTTCCAAGAAATAGCCCTGTCTCGCTACGTGCTCTAAGTATGAAGGACAAAGCTTTGCCATCTTTGCCTCCAAGGAGCACGCTGGCTGTGCTTTCTCCAAGACATATCTGTTTGCTCTTTTGGCAGTCCATGGGATATTCAGTCCTCTTCCCAAGCACCACAACTCAAAGGCATCGATTCTTCTTCTGTCATCCATATTCATGATCCAGCTCTTGGCTGCATAGTAGGTGATTGAAAAAGTCATGGCCTGAATCAGGCTCACCCTAGTCTTCAAACTGACATCATTGATCTTCAGCATTTTGGAGTGGTCCCTGACACCGAACTTGATAAACAGTCAAGCACAAATCATTTGTGCCACCAGGGACTTCTAACTGAAGCTCAGGGAGATTAAATGTATCCAGAGCTCTCATATAGCAATAAGATTCAAAGATATATCTACCTATAAGACCTCAGAGCCTATTCACTTATGCACCAGGACCACACCAACCTATCGCCTTGTGTAGCATCACCCTCAGAACCTTCCACTGATGTTCTGATTTTGGATGTAGTTGAGGTTCCTATGAGGCAGAGTCTAGTGAAAAGAAATGTGATCTGACTAGGAGTCTCACTTGAAGACAGGGGAAGAGAATAGGAGACAGGAAGTGGTACTGTTCAGCTGGCTGTGTGGCCTTAAGAAAGTTTTCTCTTCCTCTCTGGGCTTTAATTTTCCAAACTGTAAAATGGGGAAATTGGGCCATATCAGTGACTATGAAGGTATTTCTTGAAGAGGGCCTATGCAATGCCAGCCTCATTGGAATAAGCGCCCATCCTTTCCATCATGAGCTGGAGGGAATTTGTTGATGTCAGAGGCAGAATCTGACAGAATGGGTGGGCCTTTGAGTAGTGCCCTAGCCTGGGTAATGCCACCAAAGTCACCTGCAGAGACTATTAAAAATCGGATTCTCATGTCTTGCCCCAGGTCTAATGAACCACAACCTCTAAGACTAGGGTCTGGGCATTTATATTTTGAATCACAATCCAAAAAGAGTCTTCCAATCAATTCATGCATCAGTTGAGTTTTGTATTCTAACATGAGGAAATTCTCCATATTTGCGCAAAGAATGGAGAAATGGTGTAGACCCACCTTCTTTCTGACTCTACATTTGGGGAACCTGAGGGCACCGAAGGTATAAGAAATCTATCCTTAGTCACATGAAGGAGCTCTGGCAGCTGCACTGCTAACACAAAGGCAGGCAGTTCAACTCCACCAGTTGCTCTATGGGAGAATGATGGGCAGTCTCCTCCCGTGCAAGTTACAGCCTCTGAAAACCAGCTGAAGGGTAAGCTGTGAGTCGATTCTGACTCAGTGGCACGCAACACAACAAGTCAAATGAGACCAGAATGAGAACTCATGTTAGTCTGGGTCAGCACAAGGCTAACTGACCCATGGATGGATCAATATGGTTGTTGATAATAATATTGACTATGAATCTAATGCTTCCCCCCACATTTCCCTTTTTTGAGTATCAGAAAGCTCTTAAATCTTCTCACAAAATCACAAGGGGGTTTTGTATGTCTTTTAAAAAAAAAACAACCACAGCTTTAATAGTACTTGGTCTTTCCCATGACTTTGACTGTAACCTTTGACTGGAATCTCTTCTTTCCTATTCCACTGGCTCATCCTTTAAAGCCCAGGTAACTGTGAAACTCTCTTATACTCTAATAAAATTACTTATTCTGACTTCCTCAACCCATCTTATGATGCCCAAAGCCTTTTTCCTAGCCTTTCTTTATGAGCTTATTATACTTAAGGATATTTATGGTCTTCTCAATCACCTGCTACACATCAGAGAGCTGGGTAATGAGTAAGGATGGCAGAAGATGAATTGATGCCTTTGAGTTATGATCTTGGAGAAGAGTGCTGAATATCCCATGGATTGTCAAAAGAACAAATAGATAAGTCTTGGAAAAGATGCATCCAGAGTGCACTTTGGAGGTAAAGATGGCTTCACTTTGTCTTTCATACTTTAGACATGTAACTAGACCAGGCTGTTCATGGAAAGGGACATCATGGTTGGAAAGATGGTCAGAGAAGGAGAGGAAGACCCCAAACAAGATGGATGGACTTGGTGACTTCAGCAATGGGCTCTAGTGTGTCAGAGAAGATGAGGACAGCACAGGATAGGACAGGATTCAAACTGGCTGTTCACACAGTCGCTCCAACAACACCTAACAGCACCTGACAACAACATCATCATATTATTAACTCTCCATTTCCATAATTTTCCTTACAAACTACATATGAGTGTTTAGAGGGCAAGACCCAAATCTTTTTTAATTACTATTTTTATTGTAAAGTTTACAAAGCTAATTGGCTTTGCATGCTATCATTCACACACATTTTGGTTTATGACATTACTTACAATACCTACAATGCAACCACACTCTTCCTACTTCTACCCTGTAATTATCATTTCCATTAATCCCTCTACCTAGCTCCATCCTGCCTTCTGAGCTTCATCCCTGGGCAGATGCTGCCCTTTTGTTCTTATGTTGTTGGTTCTTCTAAAGAGACTGTGCCTCCGTAGTGCTATTTGTCACTTTCAAAGCCTATGCAGTGTTTGGCTGAAAGTTGAGCCTTCGTGGTAAACTGTGTTCCAGGTTCAAAGGGTGACTATGAGCCATGGGCCTGGGAGTTCGACCAGTCTCTATTGAACCAATAGGCCTGGCCATTTTTCACCCACACTGTACAGGATCTTCTACTGGGGTCCCTTTTAGAGTGCTCAACATTGGTAGCCAGGCACCATCTATCTATTTCTGGTCTCAGGGTTGTGAAGGTTGTGAAGGGTGAGATTCGGGTGATCCTCACTTTTGCTTTTCTTCCCTCTTCTTTGTTCAGTCAAAGGGAGACCATAGTTGCACCTTAGACAGAAGTGCAAAAACTCCAGTTACTATTCACCAAAGTAGGATGTAGAGCATTGTCTTTGTAGACTTTGTTATGCTAATGCCCTTGACCTATCACATCTATGTCTTATGAACCATTTATAACATTGATACCTAAGTGGTCCAGTGTCCAAGTGTTTCCTCTGACAAAATATTACCAACAAAATGAAGTATCAAAATCACTCAAGCTCTTCACTTGCTTTGGACAAACTGCTTGAAAGGACTCTTTCTTTTTTTAAATTGACCCTTGCCTCTCCCATCCCTCTTCCTTATGCTCCACAGTTACTCTTTCAACTCTCTTCAAAACTACTCTCAAAAAATACCTCTCCTCAGGTGAGTCTCCTGTCCTCACTTCGCTCCCTTCCTCTTTTCTCTAAATTCTGGAAGCCCAACAGAACTAACAGGATGGGCAGAGCCCTCCTCAGAAATAGGGCAAAGGAACTAAACAGGCAAAGCCTGAATCTTCCCTATCAGCCAGGGGAAGAAGTGGCACAAGTAAGTCTCAGTGTTCAGCCCACAGAAGGAATGAACAGATGAGTGAATGCAGGAACACAGTTGCATTAGCCCAATTTTTCAACAGAGAAACTGATGCTCCAACAGTGAGTTCCTCAAGGTGATAAAGGGAATTATGATAGAACTTACCCCTGAAAGTGTTCAGAGTATAAACCTCAACTCTCCCTACTCAATAAACCGACCCAGCCCGTTCCCCCTGGCCAGGGACCAGGCACTGGCTGAGGAGATAGCCGGGGTCCTCCCTCCACAGAATGAAAGCTGGAGCCAGGAGCTGTGCCTGCAGGTGGGGAGTGCCTATGTCATCGTGTACTCCATCGCAGACCGAGGCAGCTTCGAGAGCGCCTCCGAGCTCCGCATTCAACTGCGGCGTACACATCAGGCTGACCATGTGCCCATCATCCTCGTGGGCAACAAAGCTGACCTAGTCCGCTGCCGGGAAGTATCCGTGGAAGGTGAGCCCCAGTCCCTCGCTGACCCTTCCCCTCTCTCTTCCTCCAAGTCCCACTGTCAGTACTCTTCCTCCAGTATGCTTCATCTCAGTGCCTGAAAGTCATATATAATTACTTTATAAGTGTCCTGCATCTACGTGCTTGAGCCTGAAAACTAGGCACCACTCCTGCTCCTCCTCCCTCATCCCACAAGCCCTGTCAAATCCACGTCTCTTAATCCCACACTCCCCTCCCTCCAGGCCCACAGCCTCTGCCCTCCCCTGGCACCTTTTCTGGCCTACACCAGCTGCTGTACTTCTCTACCCACACACAGCTGGTCCTCTTCGCCAGCTGCCATGGCTTTCCAAACTCAGATCTGCCCTTGTCACTTTGCTTAAAAAAATCCCCTATAGCTCCTCATGCCCTTAAATAATGACACTTCATCCACCAGGCAAGTCAGGTCCTCTGCCTACCGGCTCTCCAAGAGCTTACATTAAGACCCTACAAGAAGTAGTCATTGGCTCCAAAATAAAGTGGGAAATTATAAACTCAAAATCCAAAAACTTTTATCTAAATAGTATAATGTTGTGTTGGTGAACAACTGTAAATCAAACCGTTAAATGTGTGTAAAAAATCTATTTACAGCAAGATGGGAACCAACCACTTTAAATGTCTGAGATTACATCAGGTGAGGCTCTTGAAGATCTAAAAAGTAGCTGTACACACAGGTAACATCTAAGCCATCCTTTCTCAAGAGTTTATTCATCCTGTCATATCAGTATAGCTCCTTCAATTTGCAAATGTGAAAACCAAGGCCTAGAGAGAGGAAGCCATTTCTACAGTGTCACCAGCCAGTAAGGACTAGTCCCCAGGTCCTGCTTCCTAGCCCTGTGACATCCTGGAGATAAAAAGCACCCATGTGCTCATTGGGCTGTGGTTGGTCTTGTTAGCTGCCTTTCATCAGGTCCACCCCCTGACTCATGGCAGCCCTATACATGAGATCAGTCTGCTGTGATCCATAGTGTTTCCACTGACTAACTGGAAGTAGACTGCCAGGTCTTTCTTCTTAGTCCCTCTGAGCAACACAAAAACCTCTACTTACAGATAGATGGTGAATGTGCTTGAGTTGCATTAGACAGAAAGCAAACCCAAGTCTCCCATTTAAAAGGCAAGAAGTCACTAAATGCAAAAACAAACCCACTGCTATCAAGTTGATTCTGACTCATGGAATATCATCTCCAGGTGCTTTTGTTAAAATTCTGTTTGTTCTAGGGACAGATTCACAATAAGCAAAGGAAGCATTGACTTAATTATGTTTACCTATATATATTTGAAGTGGAAAATAGATGAAACTGTTCATTCTAAATTAGTAAACAAGTATTATCAGCCTCATCTTGCTTGGATCCACAATTAACATCCTTGGTATCAGCAGTCAGGAAATAAGAAACAACATTGCACTAGGAAAATTTGCAATTAGGGACCTCTCCAAATTATTGGGGAGTGATGATGTCAGTTTGAGGACTAAGGTGCATCTGATTCAAGCCATAATGTTGCCGATCACTTGCTTTTGAGCATGTTGCTAGGAGGGGGCTGTTGTTGGAGAAGGACATGATGCTGGGAAGGGTGGAGTCAATGAAGGAGAAGAAGACTCTCGACCAGGTGGATTCACACGGTAACTGTCACAATGGTCTCTTGTATGTCATGAAGTGTGAAGATGGCAGAGAACAGAAAAGGGTTCAAATCTTTTATTCATAGGGCCACTATGAGTCTTACTCGACTCAACAGTACCTAACAACAACAATCCCTGTTAGGGACTGTAAATTCACGAAGAGGTAGGAAAGTCTTGTGGAGTCAGGAGAGAAACAGATACCAGCCATACCTAGAATGAGAATCTTTGATGTGAATGACTGTGGAACTATTTCCTGCGCATTTGTAAGCAAGCACAGGTAGAGTTGTGAATATCTGTGCTTTATTAGTCAGGTAACCTGACACTGATTCACTGGTTAGGTAATCCCAACACTGAAAGACTGCCAGGTTCCTGACCTACTTAAGCAGAATCCCTGAGAAAGGCCAAGGAATCTGCATTTTTAACCAGCTGTTGTTTAGCCACTTTATCTAATATTCAAGACCTTTCCTCCGTTATCATATTGGACCTCCAGTAGAGATTTTCAAAAGCAGTAAATTCCGCTCATCTTTCTCCCAAGAACCATCTGGTGGATTTGAACCACTTGGCTGTGGATTGGCAGTGCAACTTCTTCCCACTAAACCAGAGCTACCTTTTCTTGCCTGGCCTCATTCTCCCAGGCTCATTCTGCTGCTAGGTAAAGCCACACATATCTCTCTAACCATTAGTCCAAAGCCTATGAACTGCTGAGCATCCAGCACCTAGCACACGTAAAAGCACAAGTGAATATGCACGTGCTGAACTTGAAAATGCATCTTTCCACTTTTATCTTTGCCTTCCGGTACGGCTCCGCCCCGGCTCTCCTGACTCCGCCCCCAGAGGGCCGCGCCTGCGCTGTCGTGTTCGACTGCAAGTTCATCGAGACGTCAGCCACGCTGCAGCACAACGTGGCCGAGCTCTTCGAGGGCGTGGTGCGCCAACTGCGCTTGCGCCGCCGGGACAGCACGACCAGGGAGCCACCGGCTCCCAGACGACGGGCCAGCCTGGGCCAACGTGCTCGCCGCTTCCTGGCGCGCCTGACAGCCCGCAGCGCCCGCCGCCGGGCACTCAAGGCCCGATCCAAGTCCTGCCACAACCTGGCCGTGCTCTGAGGCCACCTGTCATTGGGACAACCTGGGCTCCACAGACACCTTCGAGGGACAAAGAGGTCGTAGCGTGGAGTCCTACCTGCGGACTTGCCTGCTTCTGGCAACCTCAGGAACTCGCCCAGAGGGGAACGCGGTTGGACAGAATATGGGGCTGAAGCCCAGAGCTGAGCACAGATACAGTGAGATTTTCTTTATACCGTGGATACCTTTTTTATGAACTTCCTTGTCCCTTACTCCCTGGCCCGAGCAAGATAGCCTTGTCTGAATGTCCAGTCCTACCCTTGGGCATCGCCACCACCTGCCTTCTCATCCCATCTTTACTGACTGTAGATGACTCATTCCGCCTGGTCGGAGTATCAGGTTCAGTCACTAAAGAAATTGGACCAATTGTGTGCTGAGGCCCTTCTCCCAGCCACTTGGTAAATAAATAATGCACAGCCTCCTGTCTCGGATCTTTGAGAGAGACACAATAAGGCACAAACAATTGGGGGGTCAGTGTGATGACCACGCTGTTTTCACTCTGACCTGGTTGGGGGTTTTGTTTCAGATTATAGATTCACAGAATGCTATCTGAAAGAATCTCAGCCCTCCTTCTGCCAAGCTAATAGCTGACATGTGCTGGGAGCTGACTGTGTCCCGCTGTCCTGAGCATTATGTAAGCTTAACATCTAGAGGAGATTGGTATTAGCCTATTTTACTGGTCAGAAAACTAAGGCACGGGGCGGTAATGCATGAGCCCGAGAACATATAGTTGCAGTAAGTGAAGTTGCCAAAATTATCATCATGGCTTGTCTGACCAGAGTCTTTGCCTAACTTAGCCCCAAAATTGACCCCATGGCTTTCAAGTCAATACTGGTTGCTGGCTACCCTCACTGTGTTTCTAGAGGTGTGGATCTTTCCTGGAGAAGACTGCTTATTCTAAGAAGATGAACTTTCAAACATAGTTTTGCATAGAAGATGCCATGGATACCTTGAAACTCAATTCATTAACTGGGTTTATGGACACCACCACCCCTCTCTAGCCAAATTTAATCCAACCCGTTCATATTCCAGACCTGGAGGCTGAAGCCAGAGAGGAGGGGTGAGCACCAAAGGATCCTCCAGTCGTGTGGACGAGATGGATCTCAGGGCCCAGCCTCCTCCTTGGACCTGCTCTGGCTCTGTGGGAAGTAGGAGACAGTGAGGGGCCCAGTCTGGCTGGGAAGGGGCTGGGCCGTGGGGGTCAGGTCAGAATTTTCCAACCCAAGGAGAAGGATGTCACTGCTTTGAGGAAAGAACGAAATGCAGAAGCCTTGGGCCATCACGTCCTGGACGACTAACACCCCTGCCCCCAACCGCTTCTCCGCCCAGATGCCTCAGCCCCACACGTGGGCCATGTCCCAGCCACGGGCATCCAGATTTCCCGTCCTCTTAACACAGTCCCAAGAAGGACGGGAGCATGGTGAACTCCTGAACCTCCAGCCATGACCCCCAAATCTTGTCCCATCCCACCTCAGGGTTGGGAGGCGAAGAAGGCAGGGTTCCCCTGCCCCAAGCTGAGTGTCTGAACGGGCAGTGGGAGTCGAGGGGTGCGGGGAGGGGCTCTAGCTGTGGAAAGTTGGCAGAGGCAGCCAGCAGCAGCCGGGAGAGTGGAAAAAATGATATCAAATCCGGAAAATGCAGGCCGGATGGAGGGCCAGAGCCTGCCCTGGGAGGTGACAGGGAAGGGGGAGAACGGGTAGGAGGGACTGAGAAAGGAAGAGGGGCCATGGAGAGAGCACGAGAGGCGGCTTTGAGAAAGCAGGAGATAGTGACCACCATCTCAGTCCACTAATATTTATCGAGGGCCCTGGTAGCACAGTGGTTGAGCATTTGGCTCCTGACCTAAAGGTCAACAGTCAAACTCACTAGCCACTTGAGGGAGAAGAGATTGTGACAGCCTGCGTTTTGTAAAGATTTACAGCCTTGGAAACGCAGTGGGGCAGTTCTCCCTTCCCCTGCTGGGCTGCTGAGTCAGAACCAACTGGGTGGCAGCGTGCTAAGCGCAGGCATGGCGCCAGGCTCCAGGAGATTGTAGAGAGGCAGGAGGAGGACCCAACTCACTGAAGCAGCCTGGAAATCAGCCTGTAATCAGAATGATTATGAAAAGCAGGCAGTCAAAGTCCCGAAGATACTCCAGTCCCGTGGTGTCTGTTTATAGATGGGGAAACCAAGGATCAGAGAGGGAGAGGGCTTGGCCTGGGGCCACCGAGCGGATAGCAGAAATAGTGCCTACCAGAATGGAGAAGCTGGCTGTTATTGTTGAGTGCCATTGAGTTTACAACTCATAGCGAACAACCACTCTGCACCTTGCCCTACCCTGTGCTACCCTCATGATCTCTGATGTGCTCAAGGCTCTTGTTGATGTCACTGTGTCAGTCCATATAGTTGGAGGGGGAAAGGGTAGGAACGAGGCCTGGAGCAGACTGTGCTGGCAAAGGGCATGCAGCCGTGGAGGCAGGAAAGCAGGATGTATAGGCCCTCAACCAGCAGGTAACTGTATTCAAACTCTACTCCCCTCCATTTCTCTGCCTTGGTTTCTCCATCTGCAAAATAAACTCATGCCAGCTCCCACCCTAGCAAGGTTGATGTGAGGATTAAAGGCTTGAAAGTGCTTTTAAAAGTTCATTTGTCAAGAAAGACTCTAGAAATGTTGCTTCCTAATACCTTAGGTATCTTAATGGGTTCTGGTAGCCTAGCAGTAAGAAGCTGTGCTGCACCCCGAAGACTCGTGGTTTGAACCTATCACCTGCTCTGAGGGAGAAGGTCAGTCTCTTACTGTGCGATTAACTGTCTCTGAAAAACCCACTGGAGGGTCAGCCACAGTTTGGTTCCAACTCTTGGTACATAACAACAATACTATCTCTTAGAGGAGCCCTGGTGGGATATTTGGTTATGTACTGCCACTGATAACTGAAAGGTCAGCAGTTCAAATCCACCAGTCCCTCCAAGGAAGACAGATGGGTAGTCTCCTCCCATGAAGATTTACAGTCTTAGAAACCCAATGAAGGGGCTCCCTGAGTCAGACTGGCCTCAGTGGCAAGAGGTTAGGTTTAAGGTTAATGTTGTATCTTAGACATTGACAGACGTGAACTTGTGAAAGTCTCAAGCTCTGAGGTGGTAAAGAGCTGTCGAGACTCCTTGCTCTGCTGTGATACAGAGTTTAAGAAAATCTCTCCCCTTTTCCTTATGAATCAGGGTGAAGTCTCTCTCAGGGAGGAGTGATAGGGAATGGCAAGGGACACAATGACAAAGGAGATTAATCAGAATTGGCTTTGACAAGCACTGTGGCAATGGGACAATTAAAACAGACATGGGGGGGAAGAAGAACGAACTGGGGAGGAGGGTGGAGAAAACAGTGCAACAATGAATGAATGAAAACCCCAAATCTCTGTAAATGTTCATTAAAACTAATAAAATTTAATTTTAAAAAAAAAAAGAAAATCTCTTCCTTTCCTGTGCCTCTGTTTCCCTGTCTGTAAATAAAAAGAGATTCATCCTGGATTTGAATAGTTCTGAATGCCCATGTCGTCTGTCTTCTACACAGGAACGAAAGCTCCCTGAGGAAGGCCCTTTGCTCTGTATCCAGCACCTTCAACAATGCCTGGATTATAGTAGGTGATCAACAAATATTGCTTGAACAGATTCATTCGCCAATCTACAAAAAGTGACAACAGGCCATTGCAGTTTAGAAAGTTCCAATTTTAAAAAGTTAGCCTTTTTAGTTCTTTCTCTGTGCCAGAACTCAGGCTGCATTCTTAGCACACACCTTCTCATTCATTACCTCTACAGCCTCTATTTAATAAATACCATTTGATAGATGAGCAGTGAAGGTTAAAAGAAGCCGAGAAATGTGTCCAAAGCTGCCCAGCTGGAAAGCGTGATGAAGATTCACACCCAAATCAACTGTCAGTAGCCAGGCAAGGACTACTCTCTTAATTGTCCAGTTGAGGAAACTGAGTCCCTTAGAGAAGACATGAATTGCACAAGGTCGTGTACGAATAATAAAATAATAACAACAATGGGAACAAGCAGCTACATCACCAGGAGATGTTGGAAGTGCTTTGCAGACACTAATCCTCCAAACTCTCCAAACTAGTAATATTGTTAACACTATGCCAGTTTTCAGATGAAGAAATGGCAGTACCTGGACAATTTTGCACAGTTAGTAAGTAGCAACATACCTTTGAAGCTTTTGTGCTGTGGTGTTGGAGAATACTGAACATCTCATGGAATGCCAAGAGAAAAAACAAAAACATACTCCAGAGAAAGTGCAGCCAGAGTGCTCCTTGGAGGTAAAAATGATAAAGCTTTGCCTCGCATACTTCAGGCATGTTGCTAAGAGAGACTATTCCTTGGAGAAGAACATGAAGCTTGCTAAGGCGGAAGGTCAGTGAAGGAGAGGAAGAGCCTCGACCAGGTGGATTGACACAGTGACGGCCACAATAGGCTCTAGTGTCAGGAAGTGTGAGGATGGCACAGGACAGGACAGCGTTCAGCTTTGTTGTTCATAGAGTCCATATGGGCCCTACTCAATTCAAAGGCACCTAACAAGGAGCAAGGCCAGGATCCAAACTGGGGAAGTCCAGTCCCATAGTGTTAAGGGTCCTATAGACTGTATCTATTCCTATATATTAGGGCACTCTGGCGGCCTAGTAGAGATAAACAGCACTGCAATCATGAAGGCAATCATGTAGGTCAGATCCATCATTTGCTTCTCCATGGGAGAAGGATGGGCAATCTCCTTCCATGCGATTTACTCTGAAAACCCGCCAGACGGTCGGCTGTAGGTCAGTTCCAACTCAAAGGTACACAACAACAATGGCATTCCTACATATTGCATTCACTATATAGGGATCTCTGGTGGCCTCGTGCCTGTCCTGCAATTCCACAGGCATACCATTCCAATCCACCAGCTGCTCTGCTGGGAAAAGTTAGGCAATCTCCCATGTGATTTACTCCCTCTGAAAACCCACTAAAGGCTTAGCTATG